GTCTGTTATTCTGAAGTATTGTAACATATCTTCATGAATTTGGGAAGGCAAATGGAAGGAAAGGTAGAAGGTTTAGCAGATGGTGGGTTATCCAATGCTGAAATCCTAGTGTGTGTGTATGTATGTATGTATTTATTTATTTATTAAGATTAAATATCCAGGATCTGGTTTGTTCCCAAATGCATAGTTGCTCACATTTGGGAACTAAGCCAGGTCTGGTTTTCAAACTGAAAATTTCTAAGAGGTCTAATGGGGGAAATCTGAGATTAAAACATGGACATTTTTGTTTAGAAGACATAATTTTGTTTTAGTTTTTTTTGTTAAAAGTGAGGAAATACCTTTTAGAAACTGCACAGTGTTACTGTGTGGAAAGGGCTGGGGAGAGGAAGAAGAGGAGGAGAAGAAATCTTCACCACTGTTTGTCCTAAAATTATGACTCATCCATAAACTGTTTGCATGACCCAGAGAGCTGCCTCCTTGGCCCACCCTGCAAATTGCTATTTGTTTTTTTTAAACTTTGGTCACATGTAATTTTATTAGGCATCTTAAAGGCAGCCTAATGATTACCTTGGTACTATACATGTTGAAAAAGAAACATACGAGTTTTTCAAATGGAATTGGCTAAACTGAAGAAGGCATAATATCAGATCATGCCACAATTATTAGAATGACCGTCTTTCCCTTGGTGGGCTACTGTGCCTCCTACTGCTATGTGGTAAGAATTTCAGCAGCTGAAGCTGTAACTAAACGCTCAAAGAAACTTCACTCAGATTTCTGCCTTTTCAGCCATTGTTGAAGGTACAGGAATTCTTTCAGAATAAAAATAGTACTTCAAGTAGGTAAAATAACTGCTTGCCTGGCCTCTGACCCTTAGATCTTATAGACAGATATAGGTAGTGACACACTAAAAAACTTAAAAGGCAGGAGTTTTATAAGTGGATATGGGGAGGAAATTTCAATTGTCACATAGATAGATTTCCAGTGGAAAAGGACTTTTCTTTTTACCCTTGTGCCCAATATCTGTTCCAGATGACCACCCAAAGTTCTGACATATTGAGTCTTGCATTAATGAGACACTGCTATTGGTGTCAGCCAGTATATGCGCCTGTAAACGTTACTGTGATTTGCATCCCCATCTTGATGATTGAGCATCACGCACAATTATCTGAAGTGGGAGACAGTCCATTGGAAATGATTAGGTATTTTGAAAGGACATATCTTTGGAATGGTTTGAGTCAGGATCTCCTTTTAGGGTGTCAGTGATAGAGGCATCCCACTGTTGCTTCTATTACTGTCTGTGTGGAGGAAGGTTGCCAGTTTGATCTCTTTCCTGCACAGATCAACAGATTATCCTATACATTCCTTTTATCCCTCCTCCCAGGCTAGAACTCTGCCCCTGACATGCTTGGTTTTTTATGTGTAGGAAGTGTTTGATCTTTGGTAACATTCAGACATGATCCTAATTTGCTGATAGAATTATTCAACAGGATATTTGTTAACATGTGGTTCAGTTCTTTGAGGCAAGAAAGGAATGTGGGTACATAGAGAGCCTGTTGTTATGGGAGGACCAAATCCAGAGGGAGGAATTTTGTAATCACACTGAACTTACACAGTGGGATAGGTGATTGATTTAAACACATTCAGTAAGTGGCTTTAGCCCAAGTGAAGGGCAGAGGTATTTTGCAGTTGCTGGAAGAAAGACAATGGTTGGTGTAATTCTAAAAACTCAAAATTCTCACTTTTGCTCTGTTTTGGAAGCAGAGTTGTTGAATGGGCAAAGCAGGAGTTTCATCTTTCTCTTCTTTCCAGTAAGTCATATCTGGTGTTGTGTGTATGCACATGTTCATTTATGTGGGATCCCCAATTCCTGAGGGATGCCAAATCCCATAAATAATATGAACAAAGTTTAGGATTGTTGGCTGTTGGCTGTTTACATACAGACAAGTCTCTGCTCTTTTGCAGTGTCTGAAGTATAAAAATACCTTAGTTGCTGCTGCTATCATAAAGAATTAGGAGTAAAAAATGTTTATGCTGATATATTTCTGTCCAATTTTTCTAAAGAAAGGTTCCTAGGGAGTTGTGAATAAGCAGTTCTTATTGCTTATTGAATTCTTGCTCACCCTGTCTGAAAAAAGTAGGCAGAATTTTGGCAGTAATGCAAAAAAGTAAGAATAAGATAAAATGTCGGATTCCTTTTTTTGTGTGTGATTCCCTTGGTTCTAATTTTATTTCCCTCTTTGAAGACAAGTAGGTGTCAGGTGGTACCACGTTCAGCCCATGGCTTAGTTTGCATCTTGAATTGTTGTGCAACAACCCTCTAGACAAAATGGGCAGTTTTCTCCTCGCTGGTATTTCTTGCCTGTTGTAGTACTGGGAAAAATCATCCAAATCTTAGAAGAACTGCTCTATGCAAACAGCTTACAGTGACCTTTATGTGCTTTGGCTTCTTTAAAAGTTTAAATTGATAGAACTATCAAATCACTTAATTTGTCTCAGTATGGGATACTTAGAGCCGCTGAATTTCTTCCATGTTTAATGGCCAAATGAAATGTTAAAAAAAAAAAAAAAAACATTAGGGAGCTCATTTTCATGATGTCATTCCTAGTTAATACCAAATTACAATAACTGTATTTGTAGTTCCTTTATAACAATGTCAAGAATATTATTACATCTGTAATATATTAGCAAGGAAGGGATTATGGAATGCCTTTTGTGGAGCAGAATTATAAAATACAATTTTAAGGTATATGATAAGATGCTAGTTGATTGGACATCATTCTAGCAATAATGATACCACTCCACAGAAGTATTCATATTCTCTTATCATTTACATACCTACTGGCTACCTTAAAAGGAACAAATGCAGGACAAGTTAACCTTCTGTACAGCTGAGACTGTACAGATTACATGTGGTACGTCAGAAAAGAAATTTGGCAAACTTGCATGATGGTTCTGAAGAACAAGGTATGAAATTGCTTCAGTGGAATTTTTTTGTGGGGTTTCAGAGCCATAAATTGTTCTTGAAAGTATATGAATGTGCCGACCAGAATTTTAGTCTATAATTCCCCTAGAAACAATTTTAAAGAAGTGTCTGTCTTCCCCCCTCCCATTTCATTTGCACTAAAATATTTTTGTTCTTTCCCTAGACTGATGGCATTACCATGGAAACCATTGTGAGAAGAACAGGCTTTCCAGCTGGTATCTCCATAACTGTGTGGTGCTTTTGGAAGCAGAGCCCACCTCCAGCCAACTCTGTTCACTTCCACCAGCACAGACATGGACATGCATCATTGGAATGATATTTCATTGAGTGGTGGTTGAGTCTACAGTTGTGCTGATCCAAATGAACTTTTATCATGGATGAGTTTGGATGAAAGAGGTTTCTCTCTCCCCACCCCACTCTCTGGCTCTCTTAGCGTCATCTGTGAGACAATATGAATGCTTGAGTAGAAATGATAACTTTCTGCACTACTTCTACATCTTCTGCACCAGTTTTTGTTTTGAGAAGTCACAGTATCAGAGAAGCTTCCTAATATGGGTTTGCTTTTCTAGTACTTGAAGTGATAGCTAAAACATTTTATCATTGGCTTAGAGTTATTATTTTTTGGCAATTATAAACCCATTTTGAGAGGATGGGGAAAACATGTCAAGGCGACGATCCTAAGCAAACTTATTTGTAACTCTCATTGAAATCAGTAGATCATAGTTTCAGAGCTAGAGGCCTGCAGCTAATCTTTTGGATAGCAGAATTCCAACAGACACACACGCAACACTCCCAGTTCCCATTAACTAAAAAGTAGACTCTGGGAGAACGCTCTTTCCATTGCCTGCCTGTTCTTGCATGTGCCATAGAGATGCTCTCGTTTACCTTTCCCTGCCTCCTCTGGAGAAGCTACCACCTCTCTTCTCCCTCCCACCTTGGCAAAGAAGCCCTTTCTCGATTGTTCCCCGGGTGGCCCCTTGGAAAGCTGGACCGCTGAAGCAAGCTGCAAAGGTAGCTGCAATTGCTGGAAAGCAGGTGAACTAACTGCCCGTCGGTAGGGGGGAGCATATAGCATGGTTCCTCTTCCTCTTTTCTTCTGCAAAGAGAATGAGGCAAGCAGAGGTCACAGTCTTGTCCTCAGTTACAAGGGAGTAACCGCCAGTGAATTTAGTGGTACTTAAAGGCAAACACACATAGAATTGGGCTGTAAATGTACAGTCCTCTCACACACTGGTCCTCCCAGATTGATCCCTACCAGGTGATGGTGAGATTTCACAGCCACAAAGAGCAATATGCTGTAAAGGAGAGAAGTGGTACTCTCTTTTTTTTGTTTGTTTGTTTGTTTAATTTCACTTTACGGTACAATAAATTTATGAGTCCTATTTTTTTTTTAAATAAAACTATGCCCTCTTAAATTTAAGAGTGTTCTGAGAATATCTGGAATGTAAAAATAGAATTGAATAATTGGTTGTATCTTGATTATAGTTAAAGGATTTTCTTATGTCCCTGTATAGTTACTTCTATGACTTTTAAATTTTGGATAAATGGGGAGTTGATTTTTTTATAAGCTGAAATGGAAAAATTGCAGACTTTGCAACTGTATATTACCCTTGCATTACGATGTTAATGTGCTGTAGAGCTTTTATAGAGAGAATCCCTTAATCTTACACTTTGATAAAAGATCCCTTTTATTTGGAGCCATTCTTTATTTTCCCCTAAAGTTAGCAAAAGCGTAACTAATACATTATTATTATTATTATTATTATTATTATTATTATTATTATTATTA